CTTGCGAATGCGATCAGGGTGAAAACTTCGTGGCTCCGGGATGAAATAGTTATCGACACATTTTTCCCAATCGTCAACATTACAGAGAAGCTGATCTGCCAAATACGACTGCAATGTCCAGCAAATAAGACGCAATCAGCAGAAGTTGCCGGCTTAAGTTGAAGAACACCTCTTGGATTACTTTCGCTGGAGATGGGCGAACGCGTGCGCATTTAGTTGTTTTCAAGGCAAAAATTTTTTGCACGAAACCTCAGAAGCCGCTTAATAACTTCTTCGTAGCTTATTGCATTTTCACTCCAAGTCAACTTAATCACATCCGTAGCTTCAGCTGTATTTTTTCCCAACCTAATCCAGTTAAACGCAGAAATAGAAACAAATTCTGGTTAAGGTTAATCTGTGTACCCTTTAATATAGCTCAAGTCAAACCAAATCTTAAATTTGTATTTTATACAATTTTTTGTTTCTTCAGGAATTCATTTTGTCAAACTTTCGATTCAGAACTGCAGTCTTTAATACGAGAAAGCTTAATTTTTCGCACTGTATGTAGATTTTATGGGGTTACCGTACACAGAATGACAGCTTGTAAACCGCACAAGCAACAAAGTCAAAACTATATATATCCGAAGTTTCGGGAAAATTGAATGCAACGGATACGTTGTTCAATGAGTAAGAAATTTACGTTCGCTTGTGACCAAATTTCTTATAGCCATTATGTTAATCCTAAAACTACATGACTTAAAAAGAACGAAAGGATTATATTTTCGTACTTTATAATATTGAATGGGTGAAGCTGATTGTATGGAAATTGAAATTTTTTATGTGTTGTACTTTGAATAACAACCAGCAACAGGGTTGTATTTTTAACAAGTATTACAAAAAATAATAAACCAATGTTGCTGTCTGGTTAATTTTTTCTACTTTGGCAAAACAATTTTACGAAAATGTGTGTGAAGGAACTAGTGTAGGTCATGAGCAACGAGCAAAAGACACGGAAAGCGAACGTGTTGTGGGCATTGTAAGGGGGCTCTGTTCAAACTCTTTTGCACACTTTTAGGTGATATCATCTTTTTTTATGTGAATGGGAGAATGTTTTCCAAAAATACTACACGTTTACATAATGTTGGGCCGGCGTGGTCAATTTTTCCCATTTCTATATACCTGGCACAGAATATACATTAAAATTTTTGTAAATTTATTTGCTGTAGTTTATTATGAGCTATGAGCAAAAAACAGTGGTGTTCTCACTTTACGCAGTAGCGTAGGCGTGTCCTTCGACCGATTGGTTCATTTCCAATACCAATGGGCAGGTACTTCCTATGTTTCTGCTAAATTGGAAGACGAAAAAGTAATCACACGTTTTTCGGACGGATATGCTTTAGCCAATTCAAAATTTGCTATTGATAGATACTTTTTGTGGGGGGGTCTCTTCAGGGGGCTGCAAATGTTTTCATAAAATGAATGGACTTCTTGTCCTTCGGTGATGGGTGTAAAATGATATCGCGTGTACAAAGTTACAAGTGCAATTGCAATAAAAGACCGGTCTACGCTTGTATGGACACGGCTTGATCATGGCCAATTTTCAATTTTCGAATTCCTTATTTTTTAGAAGAAGGGTACAATTTTAAATATAAGCTTCTTCTATAGATTCTTTGTTAATATCGAAATGATTTATTTTGTACACTGTGGTGTAAGCAATTTTACTGCATATATAATATGTGGGGCGGAAAAAATCCATCTTAGTTACCTGCAATTAACTCTGCTACTCGCATAACTGGCTACACTAACGATCTCTGCTAAAATTTGTTTACAAGTTTGCCATAATTTGTAAGTAAATTATCTCGCCTTTCGAACTGATTACTTACTTTCCTCGTTCGTATCAGTCATTCATATATAAAATCGTTTCAGAAACTCGAAGAACGATTATACTCCTTATTGGCTCCTGTAACGACTTTACATAAGAGGAGTTTTCTAAAAAAATAGTCTATATATGCTATCGATTGTTTTAGGAAAATTTGTTCAAACAATAGCTATGGGCTGCCAAAGGATAAGTAGGTAAGGAACGCGGAATTACCAAAGTTTCATGTTTCTAAAGACGATTTTCACTTCACTCAGTGGGGTCAGTGCTCAGTCGGTAAAGCACTAGCACTTATCGATGGGGCGCAGGTTTACGAGATTGCGGGTATTCCCCACGTCTTTGTCTCTTTCTCCACATCTTTCTGACCATTGCGGCGTTACACATATCAGACGGGACATCTCACGAGCAATTGGTCATATTAAAAAAAAAAAAAGAGAGGATCGTAATATTATGAGTGATTCGTCCATCAATTATTCCAAATGAAATCAAAAGTAGGCGAACTAAGTTATATAACGATAGACTAGCTAGACAAGCAAGCATAATCTATATAATCTCTCCGATATGCATATCGAAACCGAATAGCAAGACTAACTAAATTTTATTTTTTACTGAGCAGCGTGCAAAAAATGTATTTCACTACGCGCACACGCTACATACAAACAAAACAATATTATTCCATGGTTAGAATCGATTATGATTAAAGTCCACATAAATTGTTATAAAAGCGAAGAGTTTTCACGACAAATAAAAAATTGAATTAGTGATTGCGATATAAAATTAACGGTGTTCTGTGTCTTGCCTGTGTTCTCTTCTTGATGAGAATTTAAAGAAAGCTTTTAACACTTAACATTTGCAAGATGCCAGTGATAATGTAAAAAACACTATTGGTTCTCTGGTAAAGTCTTTCACTGAATAAACCTACTCAGACTCCTAGTACGAATAAATCGAAGGAGAACTCCAACGTTTCAAAGCAGCCAATAGAAAATACAACATCCAACACGAGTCCGGCTTCCACTGTTAACAATTTAAGGGGAAATTTACATTCATTAAATAAAATTTTGAAAAAATACAGATACCAGCTCCTTTGGCGAGGATTTAATGAAGAACTGAAAGCCCTTAGCAGAGGTTCCAACAGATGTGGCTGCCAGTGCTGGTGAGGCTAAAAATTTAAAGAAAAGTTCAATCTCCTTAGTAGATGCAAAAATTACAAAAAAAAAAAAAATTTATTCAATAAACTTTACTTGATATATAACATGATTTGTATATAAATTGTTAAAAGATAGAGAAAATGAGTTATGTCAAAGAACACCGTAATCACCTCAATTCGGCCTTAAAAAAGCTGACTTCGAATAATCCACGTCTGTGCATGTATTCTATCTTGGTTTGACTCTATGGTTACAACGTTGACTGTAATGAGTATTTTAAGAGATTTTTACTTCCAGCTAAAGGAGTTATATATAGTATATGTGTCGATAAACGTAAACGTGCTCACGGTTTGTTTTTTTTTTTTATTTTTTTTTTTGCATATAGATGTGGGAGTTGTGGGCGCGACAAACCGATACGTTAAGAATGTTAACCATGGCTACTACACAATTGAACAGACGAACGGAAGACAAGCATGCTTAGGTCTATTCCAAACCCGAAATTGGCCAAGAATATATAGGCTTTATGAGATCTTCAATATTGTTCCTGGATATTATAAAGATATTGAAAAAAATTGATATTTTGGTACACTATATTGGGGCCATGGTCAATTTTTCGTTCAACTTGTACGTATACATCCAAATTTTTGTACATTTATTTGCCGCAGTTTATGAGTAATGAATAAAAAACCAACTTTTTGTTCTTTTTGCAAAACAAAGGTATTCTCAGTTTACACGACACTGTAAGCGTATCCTTCGTCATATTTCCCCCGTTTTTAATATCAGCCTTCGTGGAGGAATTTCCAAAGTTTTTAAGTTTCCAGATTTGATGTCGATGAATACATTTGTTTGCGGCAGGCAGAATGTTTACACAGACGGACACACGGACATGCTTTAATCGATTCAAAGTTTTATACTAACCAAAAATATATACACTTGTGGGTATAAAAAGGCGAATTTCAACGTAGAGAATTTATTTGTAGACCTAATATATATGTATATATATATATATATATGTATATATAAATGAATATGAATGCATTAAAAATCCTCTTAAAATGATTATAAGGAAAAATTTTTAAAGTTTAAAAGAAAACAAACGTAGCATGTTAGTCAACAGAAAAGGACTTGGTTGTGCTGCGTATCAGGTTTTTCGTTACCTGCAAGAAGTACTCACTCACTCAAACATTAAGTGTTTCACTATCTATCGTACGAAAAGTAATTCGCATTTTTTTATAAAAATTGCACACACACATTCCCATTCACTTGTACGTACATTTATCATAATTCTTCTACTTGAAGTGTAGTGAATTAATTTTATGGTTAGAAATATTTTAATATATTTTTTTTTCTTTTTTGTTTTTGTTACTCTATACACACACACACACACACACACATTTTGCCTTTAACCATCGAAAGCAATTATAATTCATTGCGTAAAAGGCGAAAAGGCGAAAAGGCGACAATCCGACCACACATTGCTTCTATATATGGATTGAGCCTATGAAGCCAGCGTAAAAGTACTTATCAGTGATGAATCTTAGTGACATATCATCAAATGCCATCTAAATACATCATAAATGCGGTCAATAACATTAGCAAAAATAAATCATTGACGCGAAGAGTTGCAGGCAAAGAAAAGGCAAATGGAAATAAACGCACAAGAAGGGAATATTTATGAATAACGAGAATTTTAAAGATTATGATGGCGATGGTAAATGGTTGATGTGTGTGAGATTTTTATCTTTCGGCAAACGGTTGACTCTCTAATGCATTCTCAGCTAATGCGATTTAAAAAAGATTTCATTTATTTTACTTTAGTTTTTGTTTTTTTTTTTTTTTTTTTTTTTTTGCTGTTTTTGCAAAAAATTGTGTGACATATCTCCATCTATACACGTATCTGGTTTGATCAATAAAAATTTGAGAGAGAATTTATTTATTTTTAAAAATTTTTTTTTTTATTATTATTATTATTATACAATAATGTTAAAATATTATTATTCATCTGTAATGTAAATGAAATTAAATATCAATTAAAACAATTGCGGTGTGGCCGCCCCATTTATACCAAATTGAAGAGGAGAATTTAAATTATTACGAATTTTTTCGACATCCGTAACAGTTAATTTCCCAACTTGGGCTTCCTTGCGTGCATCTTCTAATCGTTTTGCTAAGTTATCGCCCGTAACGGCACGCGCATCATTTATCCGTTGGACTAATTTATCCCCCGTATCGGCGCGGGCTTGGCTAATTAATTTTGCGCTACTATCGGTGTTTACATCTTCTAATCCCTTTATTAATTTATCACCCTGGAAAACATCTGTGGGATCCGGAGTTGTATTTTGTGAATTGAACAATTGCGTTTTTCTATTAATTTGTTTTTCTAAAGAATTCTTTAAATCATCTAAACCACTCTTTAAGCCTAGAAGGGTAGTAACGGTATTGGTAACAATTTTGTCATCGGGCCTAATTAAATTTTCACGTTCTAAAGCCTCTTTTAAAGATTCCATACTATGCTTTGCGGAACTGAGAGCATCAAAAGTCCCTGGATTTCCTAAAATTAATTTCATCTCTAGCCCAACGACGCTATCAACCTTATTCTTTAAAGGATTTATTGGTTTCTCCTGTAAGCATTCGCCACTCCAGTCCTTAACATCACAACCAACCGAAAGTTGCGGTGAATTCGCATATTCATCAACATCAGCAACAACAGCAACTTTGCTCTATTGAGGAAAAGTATTATAATTAAATCGAACTTGTTACTTGATCACTATTACCATATTTGCCATTAAGCAAAAAGACACCAGGGTGCAGAGCGCCGTTAACTTCATATTGCTGTCAATGATTTAATGTTTTATTTGTCGTGCGAATTCATCTCTTTTATAAAAGTTTTAATTACCTTTCATAATCGAATTAAACCATGCAAATAAAAATTCCGATAATTAAGATAATTTTTTATACGCAAAATTTACTGTGAATATATATCATTCAGTTTGTATGTAACATTAATTAGAGTTAAATGCAATTCTCTTACACTTTTGTTGCGCAATACGCGATGAAATGTTCATAAGATGAACTGGTTTTATTTTCTTATTATGCCCTATACCTGTTGTGGCACAGGCAGGTATGTGGTATCCCCAAAGGCTTAAAGCAGACTCACCCTTTTATAATATGAAATATGTTTCCGGATCGATCTTACTCTGTCCGTCCGGCAGTCTCATGTTTGCTCATGTGAATTTGTATTCAACTTACAGGTCGCAATCTTTGAGATATTCTGACAAACTTTGTTACATTGACGTGCTTTGACCAGGACAAACGAGCGCTATTGAAATCAGTCCATTTTTTCGATCAATCCCCATATAATGCTCTATTTGGAAAAATGCACTTTTCAAAATTTCTTGCAAGAACCCACTGAATACTAAGTAGTATTTCGGCGTTTTAATTAGGTGTGAAAAATATAGTTTCGGCAGAGCCAAGTTTTCGAGTCCCTTCCGCTCGCATTTGATTGCGATCCTCTCGCATTTAAACGTTTCTACAAGGACGAAATTTTCTAAGCCAAAAAGCTCTAATTTTCAATGTTTTATGGCGAAAATTGGTTCTTAATAGTAAGTTGAGAAGGGATCTGGATCACGAAGGTCTAATTTTTGGAATCCACCGCATATGAGGATCCTTATCCCTTATACGCTGGAAAGGCCTAATTATTAACATTTTATGATTAAAATTCGTTCATGATGGTCATTTAACATAAAAATTGAGTGGACCAAATTTGAACCATGTGAATCTGTTTCTTGGACCCCATTTCGTATAATATTTCTAATGAAAAAGAGTATAACTTTCAATATTTTATCATGGCAATCGGTCCTTAGTAAAGATATTAACCGTAGGGGATTTTGATTAGATAGGTCAATGTTTTAGACCCTCACATATACAAGGGCTATCATGAAAACCAAATCCTTATATGGTGGGAAAGAATAATCTATAGTTTTTTATGGCGGAAACTGAAAAATGTTGGAATATTAAACATCTTCCACTATGCGGACTTTCATGAAAAGTAGGTCTGCATACAATTTCTGATGTATTACTACTAAAAGAAGTGAATAACTGTACCAGGCGACATGTTGTGGGTTATTTAATGCTCGGCTCTGCCCGACAATAATCTTCTCACTGGTTTTATTTCACTTATTCACGAGTGCCCACGTTGGATTTTCAGTCCTACACACTCTTAAGCTGAAATGCTTAAATTTTCGCAATTTAAGAGAAGTTCATCGCGTAGAAAGAGAAGAAAATTCAAAAGTAAACAGTTCTTTTAGAATATTTTTAGGCCTTAAATTACTAACAAGTGAACTTAGGTGCAAGTCATAAGCTACAAACACTATTGGCGAAGAATATCAATCAGAAGCAGGCAACAAAATTAAATTAAATCATATGCAATGCAATAGTTTATGCCTCAAGTATTAAAACCGAACATAGCTCCAAGTAATTATTATGTTGATAGTTACTTACGATATATAGACTATCGCACAAAAATTTTAAGATGTGACCATTGATTTCGCAGTCACGAGTCTTATCCCCTTGACTGTTTAGTTGCGTAACAGCCTAACAAAGAAGTTACTTATACCTTTCGTAGGCTGAATATTCCCAGCTAATAGACCTAAAAGTAATTTGATTACATTATCTATGCAAGGATGGCTCATCGTATCCTAAATATCGGAAATTGTATAGGTTGCTTACATTTACAAACGCACTTTAGATAAGAGACTATATCTACAAACTCTTGAGTTATTTTATTATGTAAGGTGATTTTGCTAAATACTAATCGACACTTCAATCGATTTCATTGAGTTTCGAACTTAACAGAAAGGAATAATACGAAAAAGTGCAAACACTTTAGTAGGCCATGGATCCACAATTGAGTATTCTAACACTACAGTTATTCATTTAACGACGTGCCAAATTAAGAAGTTATTTCGGAGGGGTGTTCGAGCAAGTGAACCGACCCGAACCATTTTCAATTGTGTTCACCTTAAATCCATACACAGACATCAGATGGACAGATGAACAGACAAGTTTAAATATAGCGTAATATTCCGAATTGCGCGACAAAGATCGCTTAGTTATAAAGCATTTTAAATTAGTGTAAAAACTTTGGATTGGATGAGGAAATTTTTTCACTCCTTACCATACAATCGTTCATTCGAAAATTAAATTTTTATTTGTTAAAAATGCGTCATTTTCTTCTTGATGAAAATGCGCTCATAATACTAGTTCAATATAAAAATTAAACTTACCTACTTTGAACCATGTTAATCTATTTCTTTGATCCCAAACCATACAAGAGTTGTAATGATAGAGATAAGCTTCTATATGCCAAAATATATTTAAAATTTTTTGGCGAATATTTTTTGGCGAAATTAACCATATGTAATTTCTGTTCTCTTACGTAAGGTCTGTTTTTTTAGGCCGCGCCATGTACAGGGTTGCTCATGAAAGCAAGCTCTTCTCTGGCTATATAATTTAATTTATGGAAACTTATAAAATTTTTGACATATATTTAGTCAAGTCATAAGTAACTCCCGAGGCCGCTAGCTAGAATTTATCACTCGTATTTATCCACTACATGTCACCGAAACAAACGAGTTTTTGCCTTGACTATATAGATGACACGTAATGCTTTAGCCAATAACACTAAGGCGGAAGCTAAAAAAATATGCAGCGTACACGGTGAAGGACTGATAACTGATCGGTTAGTTACAGATTGAGTGGAAAAAAGACGGCAAGCCGTTTCGACTCTGGCGACAATCTTTTAAAGGCAATATTGGGCCAAAATTCACCAAGAGATATAGCAGAAAGTTTGAATTCTTCACAATCAACTATTGAATGAATACAATTTTGTTATTCAATGAAAACTAAAAAAATGTGTAATAGAAAAGCAGAAATTACTCGTGACTCCACTTAATAAATTAGGTTTGCTAAATTTAGACGATATTGATGTTTAAATATTCTCCTATATATGTAGGACTTCGGAAAGACAATGCATTGCAAAAAAAAGTAACACTGACATAAATTAAGCCCACTGTGCTTCACCTACGTTTTTGTCTTTGCTAAATGATGGGCGATCTTCACACGTCGTTCGCTCCTCTGCTAAGCGGAAATACTAAACAAGAGAAATCATTTTTGTTGTTTTAAATAATTAAAAAAAAACTGTATTGTTACTGTGTAGATATGCAATTGATGAAAATTTGCACTGTATATGTATACATATATATATTTGCACATATATTGTATATTTGTTACCTTAAACTTAAGCAACTGCAGTTTTTTCATATGTGGCACATGAAATTTATGTTGCAACATAGGATGCAATGCTTAAATGCAACACTGGAAACATGTATAAAATTTGTTCCAAAAAACCTTTGTTACATTTAAACTACATAAGATATATAAGTTTCCGGTGTTGCAACATAGGATGCATTGATTAAATGTTTCCAGTGTTGCACTTAAGCAATCATTGAAGGCAGCATAGGTTTTTTTATAACTCATTCATTGTCTTATATACGTGGTGGGAAGGAGGGGGAGGTCCATGATATAAAGAGAAAATAGTAATGAGATTAGGCTTTTCTGATAGGCTTTAACGTCCTTTTTCGCCAAGGTGTGTAACACCGTGCCGGTCATTACAAAAGAGAAGAACAGGGTAAGAAATAACGAGGTAATGGCTGCAACCCAGTCGATAAATGTTATGCCTTTGCCGAATAAACACTCACTATAGCAATGACCAAAAGCAGCTCTATCGTACAAACCACAGCAAAAATCTCGAATTGCTTCTGTCTGTCACTGAAAATTGTTATAACTCCAGTTGCACGTTGTACTCTTTCAGTTCTTCTATTGCAATTCTGCATGACAGCTAGTAGCTGTAGTAACTTGGCCTTTTTGGTTTTGGTTTCGTGATCATAAGTAAAACTTGCTTTCGAAAAGTTTTTAGATTTTAATAATTGTTCTATTGTTTTTTTTTTTTATTCGCTATGAACCGTAACTTAGCGATATATTGTTAGCAAATACACAGAACTTCAAATATCTGGGCTATCTTCACTTCGATAAAATAATATTTTCAGTGTCTTATTAAGAAAACAAATGAACGACTGCATTAGGCAAAGAATTGTAGGATATCAAAAGGTCGACCTTGCCCGGCTATAGCATTCTCACTTATTTTATTATTACTATTTTCAAGTAATGTTAGATAAGGCATTACTACTTACTTCCTATGCTCTTTAATAATTTTTAAGCACATCATTTTTACTGTAACAATTGAAACAAGTAAGACCACTATAGTCGAACAAGGCCGCCCATTAAAAACCCCACACCACATTGTCTAACGCATTACTTATTTTTGTTATAGGACGCAAAAATCATATCTTGTTTCACACTTTTTTTGTGAGGAAGCAACCTAATGCAGTACAAGTTTAATCCTTACTTTTAATCCAAAAATAGACGTAGGTAGTCCAAATTTTGTAGAGTTCATTTTTATATGAATGTGCTATTATGGGTCAGTTTTCATCACCACACATTAAAGCCCAGACTTTTCTACTCTACAAACTAGGAATTTTCGTAAAACTCCTTATTAGAGTAAGATCCAAAGAATAGTCCAAAGATTGTCCAAATTTGGTAAAGTTAATTATCTTGTGTTAAATTATTATTACGATATAATTTTCATTAAGAAGCATCGAAAATTGTACCTTCTTGTCGAATGAACTCAAGTTTTTGTTATATGAGACGAGGTTCAACAATTGCCCCAGCCGAGCCAAAGTTTTTGCCGAGCACTTTTGAAAACTGCAAGTCGTGTGCGATTCATCGAAATATCTGAAAAATTGTGACCTGTAGTTTGGACATAAATTTCAACGCACAGACATCAGGCGGACAGATGGACAGACAAGCTTAGATAAATTCAGATTATGATTCTGAATCGATTGGTATAATAAAAGGTTGATCTATTTTAAGTCCTTCTATGAGTTACATACGACTTCACCAACTTAATGTAGCCTGTTTCACACGCGGTAAAAAGAGAAAAGCAGGATATTTGAATTTTGAAAGGGAACGATACGTAGAATCAATTTCCTGGAAGTTGAACAATAACAATTCCCTGGTCGATTGTCACAAAGAAAGTCCGTAATGTTCCCCTGTTCTTCTCTTTTCCGGTATCTTGGATTTCCCCTTTTCTAACCGAAACCATTAAGCATTGAATAAACGTAATTGGATAGGTGTAAAGACGTGCAGCAAAAAAAAAAAACGCCCGATCATCCCGGGAAAGAGGCGTACCCCACTTTGTGGAATTAATTACTTATCGTTCTATACTACTCTCTGCTACTAAGTTCATGTATTTCGATTCGAAAGCTATGATTGAAAATTTATTTTTTCAAAACTTGATTAAATTCTTTCGCTTATTCGATCACATTTTAATTAAACTTTGCCTTACGAAATTTCTTATTAACTTCACCTAAAGCCTCCGTTAAATAAGCTAAGTCTTCTTCCACCGTTCTACGAGCAGATCCGATATCGTCACCGCTCACTTTTGAAAGCTTCGATATATCGTTAGCCACCTTATTCAGTTTGGAGGTGGTCTTCTCCCAAAAAGTCAGTACCTCATCTAAATCAAGTTTTAAGTTTTGAACGTCCTCAGCGATATGGGCATTCGTTTCATCTTCCTCCGAGCTCGTATCGTCTTCTATCTCTAGCTCATCTGGAGGTACATATGCGCTGACTATCTATTAAAAAAAAATAAATAAATAAATACCATTATTAATAGAATTATTTAATAAATGCGCGCACAACTGCATATCACACTTGCCACGAAACATAAGATCGCTAAAAGAGAAAACACTGTTAATTTCATTTTTAATTAATAATTAAATATCGTTTTTCTATTACAAATGTTTGTAGGTTTTATAGACTTTTTAACAATCAATTTGAACCATGCAGATAGAAATTTCTACACCATATAAAAATACCTTCACGCTCTTGAGCGGAAAATTAAAGTATGTTAATTGCGTCTTTCACTTTCACAACCGTTGAAGTACACATCGAAAAGTTTTTAAGATGAGCCTACTTGTGTGGCTTGCCTATCCTGTATGCAGTTAGTTCGTTCATTTGTGATCCACGTCCAATAATTATCACAATTGTGCATTAATCTCTCACACTAAGCATACGATTGAATGCTACTGCCTTCTACAATATCTGGGCAATTAAAACTGGTTTGGCGTTTCGCTCGGAAAATCTATTTCTACGAGAATATTGCTTTTGTTCTGATTCCGTTCTACACCTCCTTACCTCTAATGCTATCCTATAGGGAAAGAAGAAGAACACAAGGTATTTGATTTCCAAGTAATCGTAATTATTACTCAAGACCAAAGATGATCTAGTATTACTTTAGCATTTCTTTTCGATAGAAGCATCTGCAGCTTGCTGAAAAGCCTTTTCGCATATGTTTCATTACACATGCCGACAACGAATATATTCGTATTTGAAGTTATTCAAAAGGCATACCTCCCAGAGAGAATATTTCATATTGATGATATCCGATTAGTTTGTATCTGTCGAGTTGTCAATTCGGTTTGAAATTGATAATTCCGAGATTTACTTTAGCTTTCCTTTAGCCGCTATTACAACACATCAATGGATTCCTTCAAATCCTATTCTTCAATCCGCATTTGAAAAATCTTTCAAGTAACTATCTTGTGACTGCCAAAATCTTTCCTCAATTCGAAGTACCTCAAGGACATTATGTCAGTGATATATGCATCTTAATTGATATGACTGGATTTGTCTTTTTTTAATATTCTATACCACATGTGATGTAAGGGTCTATTACGCAACAGCTGAGACAACTCAAAGCAGATCTATTTTTTATTGCACCGACTACTTTCAGACCCATTATCTAAATCCATCTTAGCTTATGTGACCGGATATCCTTCCTGTTTTCTTGTGCTCGCAGGTCGCAATTTTTGAGTTATTTTTATGAAATGTTTTGATCTAAAAGCGAACGTTATTGAAAATGGCTCGGATGGGGCCACATTTTCGACCACTCTCCATATAAAACCTAATTTTCACAAGGCCATATGCGAATATCTGTCTTAATCGAAGTGGCGTAGGGTACTAAAGATTCGGCGAAGTCTCACTAAAGACCTAAAGCAGAATTTTTGCTTATTGTATACGGGGTTTTAATCGAATTCGATCCATTTTGAAGCTTGATCTGTCGTTTTTAACGAAAATTACAGAGACCAAGTGTTATGTTATCTTCGCTATGTGAATAACTGTACTAAACAAAGTGGTGTAGCGTATTTAAGAGTGGGCGCAGCCTCACGGAAGAAAACAAGGAAAAATATTGCTAACTTTTGTAACTTAAAATATTATTTAGTTAGTGTTACATGTAGTCTTTAACATTTTATCTCATGAGATAGTTTAGGCCGTAGATCTTTTAAAATATATGATATATTTAAAGCCTGCGAACAAAATTTATGTCAGGCTCAATATACTACTAGTAGAATAAACACATATCCCGACTTTACCTGTTAGAGAGAAGGAAAAAAAAAAAAAGAAGAAAATTTGCATCGCTTTATCGAAATTAATATCCATAAAATTTTATGCATAAACTGATTTAAACATTTGTTCCACTGTACCATAATGGCCTGAAAAACAATTATAAATACAAAGATATAGGTTAAAAGATCGCGATCGCGTCAAAATTCAAAAATTAGTTTTCAACGCCAACTGCCAAGCTATGGGCGAAATAATCGAGTTTTTGCAAGAAACTCAACTTTAAGAAAAAAAAAAGACTCCTATAGCTGAACTCAGCTAAACCATGTGCAACGGAACTGTGATGTAGAAAAAAGAGAAAATAATGATAAGCATCTTGATTGGAGCGACCTGTAAGTCCCTTAACTGGCATTAAAAATCTCTCATAATACTCATCACATAATGAACGCAGTAAACATAGATTCAAATGAATATAAATTATATGCGCACGTCTGGAGAAAGTGATTATTCAAATTCAGCTTTCTTATGAGGAATTTGAAGCGGTGAAGACGTTACTTAGCATAATTCATCTTCTTTATCTTTCAACAATATATATATATATATATATATATATATATATATATATGTATATATGTATACATATATAAACCAGGTTATGTATCAAGTAAAGTTTATTAAATAAATTTTTCAGTAATTTTTAATTAAATTGAACACTTTTCCCTTAAATTTGCAATAGGCATAGTTTCAGCAAAACCGGCTAACGTAGCAAGGGCACATAGTCCTCTATCTAGCTTTAGATGTTCAACATCTTCCCGTATTAAATTGCTTTGCTTTATGAGTTTAGCAATTCCCATAGCAAACTTCTCTAAGCACTTTTGCTGATCGCTGCATTGCTCTCGGTAAGTACTCTGTAGCTCTTTGCCAATTATTATTAATTCTGCGGTTGCTTTACCTATATGTTCAACGCGTGCGTAATCCGTGCAGGCTTGAAGTTCAACGAAAAATTCCTTAGAAATATCTAGAATTGTTTTAACGATTTCCATAATACAATCGTTACTGTTCCGGGAATCCGTTACAGAATTAATTATGTTTGTTAAATTTACGCTACTAAAATCTCTAGCAATATTGCTATCAGCATCTGTTAGAACCTCTCCTAAGGAGTTTGAATTCTTCTTTAAATTATCGCCACCAACGGCTTCACTAATACTGATACTTGTATTCTGTAGAACGTCCGCTAACCTATTTAAATTTTTCTGTAAATTCTCGTCATCAATGGCCTGAGTAATATTGCTACCAGCATCTTTTAGAATCTCTGCTAAGGAGCTTGAATTCTCGTTTAAGTTTTCGCTAGTAATGTTGTCAGCAGCACTGGGTAAGGAGTTTGAGGAGTTTGTGGAGTTCTTTAAACCCTCGGCAATACTGCCAATTGAATTCTTAAGAGCATCTGCTAAGGAGCTTGAGTTCTTCTTTAAATCCTCAGTCTCAGCAACTGCTGGAATCTCTGTTAAGGAGTTTGCATTCTTTACTAAATCCACGCCATTAATTACGTCAGCGGAGCTGGCATCTGTATTTTTCAAGGTTTTTACTAACGAAATTACATTTCCTCCTAAATCGACAACAGCGGGAGCCAGAGTCGTATTGGATGTTGAATTTTGTACCGGCTGCTTTGAAGGGTTGGATTTCTTCTTTGACTCCTTCTTACTGGGGGTATTTTGTGGTGACTGAATTAAAGAATTAAAAGCTTTTTGTATATTATCACTGCTCAAAGCCTCACTGACTTTGGCACCGGCTTCTTGGAAAGACTTTGCTACAGTGTTTAATGCTTTCTTTAAATTGTCACCGTTAAAATGGTCTTGCCAAGTGGCGTTTTCCTTTGTAAGACAAACAATATTACGATTAAATGGAGTTTATTATATAATAAACTACTGCTTACCACATTTGTCACTAAGCAAGAGAACACAAGCAAAACACAGAACGCCGTTAATTTCATATCGCAATCACTAATTCAATGTTTCATTTGTCGTGAAAACTCTTCGCTTTTATAACAATTTTAAGTGGACTTTAATCGTAATCGATTCTAACCATGCAAATAGACATTTTTACGAACATATCCAATAATTTCAAAAAAAAAAGACTTTGTATGTAGCATGTGCATGTACTGAAATATTCATTTTGCACGCTGTGCAAAACTAAATAAAATTTAGTTAGTCTTGCTAGAATGTGCTTGCTTGTATGACTTGTCTATCGTTATATAAATTAGTTTGCCCACTTTTGATTTCATTTGGAATAATTAATGAATGAATCACGAGACAAAGACGTGGGAAATACCTGCAACCTGGTTAGCCTGCGCCCCATAGATAAGTGTTAGTGCTTTACCGACTCCGCACTGACCCAAAGTATAGTGAAAGTCGTGTTAATATTTCAAATCGTGAAATCTTGGTAATCCCACGATCCTTACCAACTTGTCTATGCGGCAGCCCAAAACTATTGTTTAAATAAATTTTCTTAAAACAATCGATAGTTTAGTATATAAGGACTATTTTTTTAGAAAACTCCTCTTATGTAAAATCGTTACAGGAACCAATAAGGAGTATAGTCGTTCTTCGAGTTCCTGAAACGATTTTATGTATGAACGACTGATATGAACGAGGAAAGTAAGTAAGCAGTTCGAAAGGCGAGATAATTTGGTTATAAATTATGGCAAACTTGTAAACAAATTTTAGCAGAGATCGTTAGTGTAGCAAGTTATGCGAGTAGCAGAGTTAATTGCAGGTGACTAAGATGGATTTTTTCCGCCCCACATTTTGTATATGCAATGAAATTGCTTACACCACAATGTATTACCCACGTCATGTGGATGACCGAAATATCGATGACATGTTTCCATGCTGATAGGAAAAAAAGTTGGATAAAAGTTTATAAAAAATCGAAAATTGAAAATTGGCCATGATCAAGCCGTGTCCATTATATGCGATAAAGCGTACACAGGTCTTTTATTGCAATTGCACTAGTAACGCTGTACACGCGATATTATTTTACACCCATCACCGAAAGACGAGGAGTCCATTCATTTTATGAAAACATTTGCAACCCCCTGAAGAAAGCTTCAAAGACCCCCACAATCTGTCTACCAGTATCTATCAGTAGCAAATTTCGAATTGGCTAAAACGTGTCCGTCTGCCCAACTATTTATGTTGCGAACATTCTCTCTGATAACTTTTTCGACTTCCAATTTAGCAGAAACATGGGAAGTTCCTGCCCATTGGTATTGGAAATGGGCCAAATCGGTCGAAGGAAATAAATTTACAAAAATTTTAATATATATTCTGTGCCACTAGTGTAGAAGTGGGAAAAATTGACCAAGCCTACCTAACGCTATGG